ACCTACCTACATTTTTGGATCCACATATATAAAAATCCTATTATACTATTGTAGATTTCTTGATCAACTGTTGCAATATTACTAAGATCGTGCCTTTAATGCTGTTTCTCGCGTAACCGAGAATTAAAAATGATTTATTTACTAACCAGAAAGCCACAAAGACGTAGTACAACTTAGAATTTGATCGCATTTATAGGTTGGCCTCTAGAGCTGAAAGCAGTAACATGCCAATCTAACCGATCTTCAGAATGTTGCGTCAACCACGTGCAGCCTTGGAGCAACAGAATGTTCGAAATCGATATGCAATCGAGTAATCGTTAAAAAATAGTTCGTCCGGGAAATACCTATTTTTTCCAGATAGTGTTGAGCTGAACTAATGGCAAACTGTTGATGGATACTGCGCATCAATAATACAAAGTCCAGGAATAGTGTGCTGTAATTTTCATTCGCTGGATCGTATTTATTCGTCGAATCGAAGCGATAAATCTTCTTGGCGGATTCAAGTGCCAGTCACACTGTACTTATTTGCGCTGGAGCGTCTCAACAGAATTCATGAAGACTAGGCAGTGAAGAGACATAAATAAAACTACCACACTAGATATAGGGAGTGATAAACCGTTGAAATCAACAGAGCGAATGTAAGATCACTAGTGACTTCATAACTTGGCAATGTGAGTTAGGACATCGAACCACTACTATGGCCGATATCCATATTCTTATATAAGACAGTACACATCGATCGGTTCACACTCCGTTGCTAGGTGACCGCGTAGTCAGTTCAAGCTCGTCCTAAGCAAAGCACCTTGAGCCAGATTGTTGCTACACATTCAAAGAGAGTCATCCAACAAACGTGAGGTATTTTTTCACGTACTGGGCAAATTACGGAAAAGTAGGTATAGCGTTATAGTGGAAGTAAGGGAAATAAGCGAAAAATCGGCACAGCGGTCTGATAGGGTTAGACCCCCAATTCTTGGCCCTCCTCCACGCTGGTTTAATAGGCGTTTATCTTCCAGTTTAACTCACATGCAAGCGCGGAGCGCCACTTTCGCCCTGTAGACAAGCCCATGTCCAATCAAGCGGTCAAACCCAGTTGATCGGCTTCCATCTGGAGCCGTTGATCCTCCCTCAAATTGGCATGTCTCAATGTACGCACACTGTTAGAGATCAGTTAACTGGCAGCGCTTATCGGAACAGTAGAGACACTCTCGATCAATATCTTATGTGTATCCGAAACCCGCCTGCAAGACTCGAGCTCTGTGCTCACTCTACGATCCCCTTCAGGTGACACTAGCAGTGCTTTCATATTGCGCTTATCCAGAGATGATGCAACTTCAAGTGCCGACCAAGCAGATGTGGGTATTGCCCTAAGTCGCCGAGTCAAAGTTGCAACGGTTGAGTGGATCCCAATCAATAGCCGGATGTGTGCGGTCCGATTGGCTGGCACTTTCAAAGTTCGAAGACGCGCGGGACTAATAGATGCCTATTTGTCACCGCGGCTTCCACGCCCACGAACTGTAGCGCTAACTCGTTGAAAGACGACTTCTAGTGCCAACTGAACGAGATCCTTCGTCCCAAAAGCATGGACAATGAAGAACTGGCTGGGGATCTAAACGCTCAAGTTGGAAAATTGTATACTGTTGGATGAATCTGGGCGGCCAGCATGGCGTAGGTCCCCGTGATGATAACGGTGAGCAGTTACTTCATTTGTGTGAGAATGCTCACTTATTTCTTGCGAGGACTAACCTGACGCAGCACTCGCCGGAGGGTGACATGACGCCCACCAGACTTAGATCAGCCTTGGACGTAAATCAATCATATTGCCATCAGTTACCGCGTCCAAAAAGGTCGCGCTATTTGAAGCAGATGTATGGATACTGAGCGCATGCTTGTAGGTGCTGATCTGCGGGTGCGTTTTGGCACACGCCCAAGACGACGCTGTGAACGCGTTGGCACTAGCCAACTAGAGAAGCCAGATATTCTGAATGCGTAACGAAGTAGACTGATTTGCGGGTTGAGTAAGCGCTCACTGAATACAGTTGAAGGTCACTGGTCGCTGGTTCGCCAGACTTTACCAGCAGCAGGCAAATTCTCATGTGATAAGTCTAGTAGCCAACAGGGACATTGGGTCTCTTCGTGGTCTCTGGGACTTATCAATGCTCGCCAGCACATTCCAATTGGAAGCAAACACAATGAGACTTGCAAAGACATCAGGGCAAAACTGCGCACTACCCTGAAGAGAGACCGCGAATCCTGGTGGTCTCATGGTGCATCAGAAATGGAAGTGGCCGCTGCCCTCGGTAACCATCGAAAGTTATTCCGCTTGATACCTGAAACGGGCAGCAAGAAACCTAGTGTTAGTGAAACTATACGTGACGAGTGGACAGCCTATTCACAGGTTATCAAAACACTTGGGGCGTCAGAAGGCGCATTTTGAAAGGCAATTTAATCGGTCGGGATTGCCAGATTTCTTACCGGCCACTAATAGCCCTGCTCTCAGGGCTGTCCGTTTCGATTCGCCCTCTTAATTAGAAGTCGAACATGAGAATGAGCTGCATGACTAGATGACCTACCTACAGCCCTCCTCTAACTCGGGGGACCTGCTCTTGTTGATGATGTACACGAGCTACTAGTGAAACTATAGGATCATGAAACTGTCCCAACCGACTGGAGCCACTGGTATTTCCCAGATCATAAACGGAGGCTCAAGTCCGGAATGCGGCAATCATAGAGGAATCAGTCTGATCCCCATCTCCTTCAAGTTGCTTGCCTCTGTCATCCTTCACAGACTATGTGACACTCGTGAAAGCCAGATTCGTGAGGAGCAAGCCGAGTATCGTCGAGGTGGGGGCTGCATCGATCACATCACCGTTACATATATTGGCGGCCCACTGTACTCATGTTTCTGGACATCAAAAGTGACTTCGATTAGGTTGATCGATGTGCCCTTTTGGACTGCTGAATCAGGAAAGGTGTGCCAGAGAAAGATGTAAATATTAACCGAGCGCTATGCACGGCAGAGTATTTAGGGTAACCCATGCCACCCTATAATATCTGCAGCGGTGTAAGACAAGGATGTCCGCTGCCACCTTTCCTCTTCAATTTGGCTATTGACGAAGTCATGATAATGACATGCATTGGACGTGGCTTGGAAGGGGTTGACCTGCTCGGAGATGACCGAAATCTTGACTTAGAGTATATTGACGACATTGCCCTAATTTGGCACAGCCCCAAAACGAGCCAAGCAGCAGTAGATAGATTAGTACAGTCAGCCGCTGTGGGCTTTGCTTTGCACCCTCCAAGTGTAAAGCTTTCTCCCAAGATTGTTAGGGACGTCCTTCTGCGCTGAACACTGGTGGGAGTCAGCTAGAAGTCGTTCAAAAATTTAGCTACGTAGACTATAACGTTCACCGGTCGAACGTCGAATGACGCGTAGCGAATGATCCGAAAACAGAAAAAGTTGGATCGCGATAACTACGCAAGTATTAAACTACATACAGTTAAGTAAATCAGGCGTACCACAATTGTTCAGGATCACATCAGTAACAAATTGTAAATATACAACGGGAAGGAAAGCGCTGTTCAAACAGACAGCCAGAGGACGAGCACACCATAGACGTGTAGAAGTAGTAGCAATGGCCCGATCACAGAGTGAAGGACTTACAGAAAGTACACATACAAATAAACAGATGTCACATTTGACGACCTAAGCATCACTCAGAAAGCGGTAACTATGTTACAATGCCATTGAGATAGCGACAGTATGTAGTGCATGGGGCACCTGTTACCGACGAAACAAAATCAAATAATGCCAATGGGAGAGAATGAAAGTGAACCACAGGACAATGGAGTGAGGGTACGGTGAATTGGACAGTTACTAAGATGAGTACATTTGAGGGGGATATGAGAATGATCACATTAACCGGGTTTCTTGAGGACAGAGTTCAGTGCGCGCGCACCCACGATGAATAGTTAGTTAAATGATCGGAAAAGTATAATCCAAGTGTCAACCGATAGCCCGTTGTAGATAAAATTTCCAGCCACTGAAGAACCCGCTACATAGACAGTTGTAGCAGCCTCTGTGGAATCAAAGAGAGATCACGAGCCGTATGGTAAAAGCTCGAGGCGCTTTTGCTAACTTTCACCACCTATGGCACCGGTACGACATCACTCTCACCTTGAAGGTTAGAGTTTACAACGCAGCCGTAAGGTTGTGAAACCTGGCTTCTTAGATCGGCAGATATAAAGAGGCTAGCTACGTTCGACCACCGGTGTCTTCGCAGTTTGGCTCATACCTGGTGGGAACACTGGGTGAGCAATGAACGTGTTCGACGCCTCGTTTATGGCACAGGAAAAGGGAATGAACCACCCAGCACAGTTATTTCACGCATCAGGCTCCGATGGCTGCGTCAAGTGTTGCGTATGCCAGCCTACGGACTCCGGCAAGGTGTGTTGTTTTCGTGCCAGGGGTGTGGATGGAAGGACAGGAGGGGTGGCCAAGCGATGACTTAGTGAAAAGGAATGAAAGCCCTTAGTTCGAAGTTGGCTTCAGTTGAAGCCTCTCGGATCCCAGGTTGGGGTCGGAAAGAAGTCAACTTGTTTGACTGGATACACTTGCTGACATGGCTAGGAGACGACCTGCGTGACGTTCGTGTTGTCAGTTTTTTTGTTATCCATCCCCATCTAGCTTAGCCTCCTCCTCCAACCGCAACCCTATTTCCTAGCATAAAATAAATGAGCTATCACAATGTTTTTGTGGCACAATAGCACACTGATAGCTTTCCAGAACGATGCCCATCCGTTATTAGTAGCTCAGCTGGCGTGCATCTATTGCGTTTTTTTTCTAATGTATTGCGGCACAATAGCTGAGGTGTTTTCCACCTCTAGCTAACGTGTATAATAATGATGAACACCACTAGTGGGACATTTGTGAAAGGTGGAAAACTAACTATCTCACGTTGCACTTGACCGTATGAAGATAACAAAGTAAAGAAAGTACTAACCTCCAGCAACCAACGTCTTCCATGCCTCGCCCGACTTCTTCTCTTCTTTTGTAAAGTCATCTGGGACGAGCATATCCTCCCCAATATCGATAGCAGAAGCCCTCCGCCAATACCGAAAGATTTCATCAATATCGGAAGTTCCACTGAACAACAGAAAATCCCGCCACTCGTCATAGTCAATCTTCAGTGATCCATCCTTATCCATGCGCCGCAGAAGATGCTGAGCGTCTTCTAGCCTAATTCGAACTCCTAGCTCATGTAACGCCGCTTGAATTTCCTCGGCATCAACTGTATTGTCCTTATTACGATCCAGTTGTTTGAAGGCCAATCTCAGCTGTGTCTCAGTGTCGCGGATGTATGTCAAAAATTCATTGAAAGTGAGGTGTGTCTTATCGGACTGGTTGACAGAACTCTTGTCAATTATGCGTTTAGCCGTCACTTCTCGACCTGAAGGCTCGTGTTCGCCGCGAACGACTTTGGCCAGCTCGGATACGCTAACCCTGCCATCTTTGTCGATGTCTAGCTCTTTGAACAAAGCAGCAACTCGTTTTTTGTCTTCATCAGATAAATCCGACATTTCTTGGCTCAGCTAGTTGAGCAATAGACTAATGCATGGATCGCAAACCCATGGTACGGTCTATAGCAATGAAACCATCGTTGCCACACAGCGTAGTCGATCTATGGAACAAAAATCGACATCTGAAGGCAGCATTGCTGTAGAGTGTACAGACACGCATGGGCTGACAGCCAACCAGTTGGGTTTCGTTGTCAAGGGCACAAGGCCTACAGACATACGGCACCGGTTTTAGCGGCACAATGCAGATGCAAAGGTCAAGAGCAACAGGTGGGTACTGATGAAGGATTCAGGTGATGGAGAATTTTACAAGGTGTATCGGGCTTAGAGTATCCGCGTGTCATTCTGGTGTTTAACAGCATAGTGATGAACAGAGGAATTAACCCGGGATCATGCTAAACTTTTCATGCCGTGGATTAATTAAGTGTTGCGTCTAGGTAGGTAGCACAAAGGATGGACGCAGATGACTCAGCGGCTACAAGTGCCAGTTTTAAATACACATGTATAGTCCCATAAGAGATGCAACAGCGTAGTTCCACCATGTCATACACCAAGCGAAGTTTCCAGTGTTCACGTACGATTTACTTTCCACAACAAAAATAGCAATGCAGGAACAACTCACAACTGCGTTGGCCTGAATTCAGTTAGTTTGTGCATTGTCTTACGCCGTTTACACAATATGTGGTATGGCGGACGCATATAGAAACAATCAAGGAATAAATGGGCAGCGTTCCGCATGATAATTGCTCCCAAAGAGCAGCGTGGGTTCTGTTACGCGGAGCAGTCTAGTTGGGTTGAATGACGGCGTCAGCTTATTAGAAAATGATGACAGGTTACATCAATCATTGAAAATAACCAGTGAAATTGAACAGACCGATAACCTGGTTTCCTTGACGTTTTATTGTGAAGTCAGGATAAATAAATAAATAAGATGTATATTCTCGCTTTTGGCGAGACACGCAAGTCCAGGTAAATAAAGAATTGTTTAGTTCAACGGCCACGAATGATCGAAAAATGTACAACAGTAATGAAAATCGCTTTCCAATTCTGATAGGATATCAAAGTTGGCTGCTTTCAATATGTTACCTGTTAGTGCGCAGTATGTCTATGTCGGGTTTGGTAGGTCTGTTGAGAATATTAATACAGAAATGTAAAACGTATGTCTCAATTTGCTTTAAGTATATTTTAACGGCTGCTTTGTTCATGGCCATTTAGTACTATGGAGTTGCGGTACTGGTACTCACATGAAACTGGAGCAAGAGGAGCACTTATGATAGATAAATGTAACAGTAAACTGCAATAAAAGTAGTAGGGACATCGACAACGAAGACAGAGAATGTGGAAGTGTGTTTGACTGACTTCCTCCCTCATAACACAATTGTTAGTGACAAGTTTGCGTTGGCATAGCCGGGCAGGAGGAAAAAGAAAATAAAGACTGTGAGTATAGAAGCCTCACCATTGCAATATTTGTTCTCTGTTGTAGACTGGTTTCTGGATCATATAAATCCTACACCTTGTTCGTATGCTTGGCTGTTCGCTATGTGGCATCCCCATAGATGGATCACATTTTGCACGGTCAAGTATTTGCTGGTCCTTTATTGAAATTCCAGATCTGAATTTCTAACACGAATATCGGTTGGCAATTTGTTCCAGGTTCGTACACATCTGGTAAGGAAGAAGTTGCCGGATCTGGTGGTATTCAATCTGCATTCCACTACAGAGTATTCCTTATTTCGTGTTGTATGGTGATTATATTATTGCCATGTTAAGGTTGAAACATCCAGTTTCTTGTGCAGGATGTCCTGGAATATGATCAGGTTGTGCTTCATTCGCCTAAACCAGATATGGTCAAGCCTGAGGTTCTCCCGTTGTTCGAAATATGCTAATTTCGATGAGGTTCTTAATAGGCGCTTTGTGAATGTTCGTTGTACCTTTTCTAGTAAAATGCGATCTCGTCCATTTGCACTACTGTACACCATGGAGCAGTATGTCAAATAACAGCGTGAAAGTGATGAATATGGGCAGAGTATAGATTATTTACTTTGAAAGTTTTAAATAACAATCTAATGCTTTGTCTGGCCTTTGTAATGGTATAGGCTGTTTGTTCGGCGAAGTTGAACGAGCGTGAGTATCTCAGTCCCAGATCACGAACAGTATGGCATATATTAATTTGGTTATCAAAAAAGTTAAACTGCTAGATGTTATGTTGCATTTGTAAGGCGTTGCGTAACACTTGGCTGTCGTAAATAACATTCCCCACTTTGAACATCGGATTTCTAGCGCGTGGAGGTCGAGCTGCATTACATCGGTAGTTTCGTTTATGGTAGCAGGGCGAAAAGTGTAGATAATTTTGATAACGTCGGCAAACACTTATGGGGTAGAGAATTTCACAGCGTTAAATATATCGATTGGAAGACCGTCCTCTGAAAAGCGACATGGATAAGACACATTCGAAGCACTGTACGACAAAGATACAAGAGAAATGTGGTTCCCATTTTTATACCGCATCACCCCATCTGAAAACCAAACACCTTTGATAGGGAAACTAAGTTCATCCTCAATACGTTTCGAAATGGATGTCATATCTAGTTCATTAGAGTGCATTCCATATCACGCATTCTCACCGTCCCGTCACTACAGTAGCAAAGAGGTCCTCGTTACAGTCCATTTTAAATGGGACATTGCTTTCGGACTGTTGAATAGAGGACCCAGATAGTCCACCTTGTATTCAAAATTACTTGCCGAAACTAGCCCGCTCATTCCTGATAGACTGAAGAAAATATTCCAGATCCGGCCCGAAGCACTTATAGCAATTCACTTGCACCTGTAGTGAAAGGTATCTTGGATATACGTCCGAGCGCTTGTCCAAACAAGTAGCTAAAAACCGCTTTGCGCCTGTACGAAAAGGTACGGCAAGAAACAATAGCAGTTCTGTTGTATAACTTATGATTAAATAGGACATTAGATTCAGACAAATGAGTTTCTCAAATTCAGTTGGACCCTCCTAAAACGCTACTCCAATGGTTCAAACTGACACCATTTAAACACGGCCAAAACCATCGCACTCAAGGTTATGAAACCAGACCATTACAAATAACGGACAACTGTGGAGGCTCCGATCTTGCCTTGTTTATAAACATTCTCTGGTGAGACGCGCTCAAACTAAAGACATGCGACCGGCGTTTATTATTATTGTCCTATACACCGTCATATGCGTGTATTATGTCCAACTGATTTGGACCCTGAACACTGACGTGCAATGCTAAGCTAATTGTTTGTGCGAATTTTGTCATTCCAACGCATATGTAGATTAATTTTACTCCATCATTGTACAGATTAGACCAGCTTCATTGCAAAGGCCTTTGTTCCAGCAAGTGCACATTTACATATATAGCCGGGAGAGCCTATGGTGCGCTGAGGCTGGTGGTGGCTAGATCCTGACAGATGGTCTACCCAGTGCTGATATGGTTGTACCATTGGCTCATTTCCTGGGCGCCTCCTCGTGGCGACCGCTGGGTGGGAGTTGGGTTTCGCGCTTCTCCCTGCTAAGATCCAGGACACCAATCCGCATGAGTCGGCTAACTGACCGTGTGCTAGACCCGGCTATTTTTCGGGTGTACGTTTAATCGAAGGTTTTGGCTGAAGACCCGAGTCGTTCTCCTGTCAGGTGTGGGCGCCCTGCCAGTATCCTAGAATATTCGCTTCGGAGGTTAGGAAGTGGTCGATGGTCCTCTTCTCGTAAAACCTAGCCATGGAAGATAACAGGTCTACGGGTTATAAGCTCACAGCTTGATTGACGTAGAGCACAAGCGCCACGCATTGCCTCTGACGGTGGGAGGACACCTCCGGGTGTTCACCGGTTTGCTACTGACCGCCTCAAGCCATGCAGCCCCTGGTCAAATTGGTGCAAACCCGCCAAAACCCACCTGCGTCTGGCCGTGGTCGCAGGTGTATCCTACTACGGTCGCAAAACATATATGAATCGTCGCAGTACCTCAAAGGCTGCGTGTGACGGCCGTCAAGCAGATCTCAATCTGTCTCTGCAATCACATTCCCGAGCTGGATCTGCTAACCACTGCCTTGTGGGTAAGGCTATTAAGCCAAAGGCTCTGGGTGCAATCCCTCAAGCAAACCTCGAAATCACCCACTGCCTTGTGGGTCAGGCTATTGAGCCAAAGGCTCCGGGTGGAGTCCCTCAAGCAAACCTCGGAAGCACGAGGACCACCTCGCGTGCGATTGCCCACTAACACAATCGTATGCCTGCGCGCAAAGCACTCAGCATCGGGTGCTGGAACCTGCGCACACTACTGGACCGGAACTCGAGCGAGCGCCCGGAGCGACGCACTGCACTGGTCGCAATGGAGCTGGCGCGCTACCACATCGATATTGCGGCGCTCAGTGAAACTCGGCTCGCTGAGCAAGGTAAGTTACATGAAGCAGGTGCTGGCTATACATTCTACTGGGTGGGGAACGCCGCCTCAGCACCACGTGAACATGGGGTCGGATTTGCAATATCCGATCGCCTGAATGGCCAGCTGGTGGGTGAACCAACGGGCATCAGCGCGCGACTGATGACTGTTCGCCTGCGACTCGGAAGAGGTAAGTTTGCTACTTTTATAAGCACGTACGGTCCGACCATGTGTTATCCTGATGACACGCGTGATCAGTTCTACACTGAGCTATCCTCCGTGATACGGTCTGTGCCGAGGAGCGACCGACTATTTCTGCTGGGTGATTTCAACGCGCGCGTTGGGCGTGATGCATCAGCGTGGACAGATGTTATCGGTGCGCATGGCATTGGTTCAGCGAATGCGAACGGTGACAGGCTGCTCTCACTGTGTGCCACTCACGGCCTGACGATCACGAACACTCGGTTTGCACTGAGTGCGAGTGATATAGCAACTTGGACGCACCCACGGAGTGGTCACGCTCACCTGCTCGACTATGTCATCGTACGTCAGCGTGATATGCGTGAAGCGCGCATGACACGTGTACTGCGTGGAGCTGAGTGTGGCACTGATCACAAATTGGTTCGGACCAAACTGTACATATATTTTCGTAAATCGATGTATTGCACTTCCGCCGTGAATCGGCGTAAATTTAACATTCTCCCCCTCGGTACTGTGGCGAAACGTACTGAGCTGGAGAAGGCGATGGCTGCACGCCCGTGTCATGTGGACTGTATAGCCACAGTGGGCGACCTGTGGCGCCACATTCGCGACCAGGTGACAGCTGCTGCCGAGGAGACCATCGGGTGCGCAAACTGCAAGCGGCCTGATTGGTTTGAAGAGAACAATGCAACGATTGGCCCACTGGTCTAGGAGAAGAATGCAGCATTTGCTGCACATGTGGTAGACCCCAGTGACTTGGGGAAGAGTAGTCAGTTTCGCAACCTTCGAAGGCGACTTACCCGAGAGCTCCGTCGCATTAAAAATGCATGGTGGATGGAGAAGGCGAAGCAGATGGAATGCTACGCCGAACGCCGCCAACACAAGGAATTCCTTGACTGCTTAAAGGCGGTGTATGGACCGAGATTGGAGCCGCTGAGGACGCTCATCGATGGTAGCTAAGGCGCTACCTACACACACACACTATATATATATATATATATATATATATATATATATATATATATATATATATATATATATATATATATATATACGCAAAGGTCTACGAATAGACAAAGCCATCGGAAACCATGGGATTCAAAAGTAGGTACAGAAATAGTAAAAGAAAATGCAACACAACACTACAGTGTCCATGCTTTCGTCAGAGGTCGAGATACTACCCGCTTGCCCAAGCCGAAGTAGGGAGTTGACTTAGGGGACACACCCAGAGCTTTTGGCTGAATAGCCTGCCTGCATGCAGTGGAGCGAATTCAGGGAATCGCGCCCATTGGGAGCCGGTGACTGATTGCTCAGTTCCCATAACTTCCGTTTGTTTCTTTTTCAAACAGGGGACCAATGCTATCCAGAATTACAGCATAAGGTTGCCGAAATACAATGCTTCGCACACAGACTGCAGACATAATGCAGATTTGGCAAAAGCACGTTGACTTCCACTTGAACAACGGTTCAGAAATTGATTGGCCTACATTGGATGACCTCAAGCAGTACGATGTGAAGGCGAGTTTGGCGGACACTCCGACGCTGGATGAGACGCAGACAGCACTTGCTCAGCTGCGAAACAGCAAGTGTGCGGGTGTCGAAGGCATCATGTCTGAAATATTGAAACACGGCGGACCCGCGTTGATGACTGCGCTGCACCACTTGGTGCAACGTGTAAGGATTGAGGAGGAGGTGCCTGCTGAGCTGAAGGATGCCCTTATGCCACAACTGTACAAGGACAAAGGAAGCAAGCAATGTTGCACGAATTATCATGGCATCAACTTGCTGAGTTGCGTGGGCAAGGTGATTGCCCGAATCCTGCTCAACCGCCTCGTCAGTCAGGTTGTGGAACCTAACGTGTCGGAAGAGTACTGTGGATTCCGTTCGTGTCGCGGCTCGTCAGTTGCAGAAGTGCAGAGAATGACGCCAGCCATTGTGCTACCTTTTTGTTGGTTTCACCAAGGCATTTGATACGGTGAACCGCGAAGCATTGTGGCTGGTGTCGGGTAAGTTTGGTTGCCCGCGTTAGTTTGTAAGTTTAACTGAATGTCTGCACAGTGGTATGCGGGCGAGGGTGCGGTTGAGTGGAGAGACCTCGGATGACTTTGCAGTTGTCTCTGATGTGAAGCAAGGCTGTCTTAGCTCCTGCTCTATTCAATATTTATCTGCATGCAATGATGTCTTGTGCTTTTGATGCGGCTTGTGCTTACGGTGTTCGTGTGGAGCACCGTTTTGATGGTGGGTTTCTGGACATCCGTCGTTTCGGTGCGAAAACTTTAGTCTGTGAGACAACTATCGGTATGTTGCTGTTTGCTGAAGACTGAGTTGTTTGCACACATTGCGGATGTGTTGCAGCATTTGACTAGTGCTCTGGCTTCGACAGCGGCCAAATTCGGGCTAACCATCAACACAAGCAAAACTGTCTGTCTCTTTCAGCCTTCACAGGAAATGCAAGCTTCAATATATATATGGTTGGCGACATCTGGTTTTAGATTTGCCTGTCACTGTGGCCAGCCACAGGACGTCTGTGCCTACAGAGGGACAATGGATGGCTTGCGCTGCACCACCCACAGCTCCATCCACACACCCTATATCCAGTGTAAACCCGAAGGAATAAGACCGGGAGGCATGCGGATGGGAGCCACGTTTCATCAACGAAGCCGACCCACACTTCTTCACAGACAAACAGAAGCACGCTGTATTTGGGGAATCAAACGCACACATGGCGGTGGCTGGACCGTATTCCGCTCCACATTGAGTGCATGGAACCACTCTTCGAGCCTAGCACGACCATAAGGATCGTGCACCCCGTCCCCTCAAGCAACGACCAACTGCCTGCTGGAGCCAGTATGGACGAGGTAGTGGGTAATAGACAGGTAGGCACCTTGTCAACAAACACATCAAGCGCAGCCACACCTGGGATGTCAAACAACAGCCAATCATTTGAAATGACGGTATCAAATAAAAGATATCGAATGAAGTCAACGTATAAACGACATAAATACTCGCTAAATGAGCGCTTGCATAAATTGGTTATAGGCGAATCCGCGATAAGTACAAAATGTCCGAAAGTTATTTAAATTAACTACGTGATAGTTACGCAAGGTTACCACAATTTGCAAGAGTGACGTGTGCAAGTTAGGAGAAGACCATCAAGTACCCAGAACAAAGCAAATAAAGTGGAATGAATTTCATCCACATTAAAACCTAGTTTAAGTGTAAGCTGGTTTAGCCCAACTGTGGTGAAGAAGAATCATGAATGCAACATCCGCCTTAGCGTATATATATATATATATATATATATATATATATATATATATAAAACTGCGGTGCCTCATGCCAAGGTAGATATCGCATACATCATGCTTCTCCATCACAGACCAGCTACACAGACTAACACTTAAACTAGTTCCTCCTAATCCGGATAAAAGGTATTTCATTTTATTTTATTTGCTAAGTTTTGTTATTCAGCTGCGCGTTCCGGGTCTATTTTGCATCTATATTCGCTTTTATATTCCATGTTTGTTGTTTGAAATCCCCGATGTGACTGTGATTGATGTGGATGTTGACAAGGTGTCTACCTGTCTAACACACTCTACCGCGGTCACACATGGAACGCAGGAAATAGCAAGCCACAGAGAATCACTGTCAGATTGCAAGCTCTAAGCAAGTTGCGCATCAACGATAACAATAGATCTCTGTCCGCAACATTGAAGATGATCGGGCTTTTGCAATCTGATTAGACGTTGGTGCATTTCAGTGGCTATTCACTTACTTTACTCGCATCCTGCATGTGCGGCAGATAGCGATTAGAAAATGCTTTCAGTTTATGTGACAGTGAGACCACGTATTGTGTCAGCGGCTCGAAAAGGAGAGATTGTGCTTAAGAATGATCACCTCAGTCTGTACATGCGCTAGTTTACTATTCAGCAGGGGAAAAATGTGGGCTGTTTCGACACTGCGTTGCTTCCCACCGCTGGGTGAATTCTTGTTCTGCGTTAGCTTTCCTTTCAACCGGCATGGTCCAACGACAGTCCGCCAAATAAGCTTCGCGTGTCTTCTGGCTTAGTTTGTCCCAAACAAACAATAATCAGCACGCCGCACTGTGACCAAAGCTTTCGACTGGCTCACGTTGTCTCTCTGTGCCCATCTCTCGACCAACTGACTCTGTTGCAGGGCTGCCAACGCATGTCATCAATGAGTAGAGCAAATGTGTGATGTGGCTGAAAGCTGGGGCGAAGAGACTCGCCTGTCTCAGTGCGGTCGATCGAGTGGACGAGTGAGTTTTTAACTACACAGCTAGTTGTACTTTGCCTCAGACTTGGGAATAGAGCATTTGTGTGCAGAGACGGTGCGAGTTCTTTCTGTTGACGCTGCTGGGTGAACCAGGCTCGCAAATCCATGACTTCGCACGCGATTGTGTGCCCCCTCCGCAAACGTAAGTGAATGCGTGAGAGCATTTGCTGTCCAACACAAACCAACGATTAGATAGCCGGGCAAGCATTACAGATGTTAGTGTTTCCTATATGCGCGCAAGCGCGCATCGCTGAATTACGGGAATCTGTCCAAACGTATCGGGCACACTGTATAGTCTAAGCATCGACAATTTATCGGTACACAAATAACAGGAAAAACGAAGAGCCGCAGTCAGCCGTTCGAATTTGATGTTGAAACGTTTCGATGATTGAGTAGCGGCAGGGTGAAACGAAGGCGACTTCCAATAATTGCAGAGCCGAAGAAGAACTAGCTCGACGTATCATGGTGCTACACATAATGCTGAATGATACGTAAAGAACATTAGGATGTACATTTCTGGTAGAAAACTAGGGAAACTCAGTGTGGACTACGAGTTGGCCAACAGAAAAATGCCGTGGTGGAGATTTTTAAAGTGCCAAAAACTCCCTTAAGGACTCTTCCATAGATAGCGAGAAGCCAGGAGAATGAAAGTGACATAAGCGAAAGGAAGATTTTCCAAAAGGTGTGAAATTAAACATAGAAAGATTTACGGGGCAATGAGGTTCGAGATACCGATTATCGCAAAAACAACGTTACAAGTTTGCCACATTGGTACTGAGCAATACACCTGCGGGATACACCGGTGACAAGTTGTGGAAAAGGGGAATCAGAAGCGGTTGAGAAAAAATACTATATTCTTAGCAACGCAGCTACTCAAAAATATTATGAAACCAAGAGGAGAGTAGAATGTACAGGTGCAGTGAGAGCAAAACGCAATTTAGTACCGATATTTGGTAGAATAGTCCTTTGGAGACACTACCAAACCCCTGCCCTTGCGGGCTCCCCTATACACAGTCTCGATTATGTCCACAAGTTCTTGCCCATCTTCGATGGGCCAATTAATCTTATTGTTATTTCCCGTGCCAAGATCAATCATAATATGTTTGTTGCGATAAAAGAACATGACAGTACACGGGTCATATAGTTCGTACATTTTGTTGAAATCCTGCACCTTAGTTATATCGACCAGGTAAATGACGGCGAAATTTTTCACTGCTTCGGCAATCTTGAACAGTGTTTCGTCCATCACCATACAGGAAGGATCCCAATCGTGACCAAAGCGAATCACCACAACACGGTCTTCCTCTGACAAAATTGCTTGATCCACTTGCCACCCATTCGTCAGGTGAGACAACATATACGACATTGTGACAAATCAGTAGGTGTACCTAGAGGTAAAGTGTTCTGTCACTGGACGCCACCAAAACGTGGAGGAAAACGGATCTGGAAAAGAGAAAGATCCCATTGAAAATGATATCCAGGGAAAGGGGTGGAAAGCTAAAAACAAGTAGTCTTCTAGTGAAGTGTCGCAAACTGTGCAAGGGTCTGTGCAGTCAAACTAAGCAAACGTTAGTTGACCGAAAATCCATCACAAAATAAGCAATTTAAGCTGCTAAAATGCGAAAACTCAGCCGTAAAATCGAGAGTGACGTGCAGTCGTAAATGTTAAGACTTGTGGATGAGTAAGATAAGCTTTCTACTCTGGATATGGGAGTAGAAGGAAATTTTGCTAGGGACCACATGGGCGTTACGGAGCCTGAGGCTAATAGCGCACAAGGAAACTTAAGTGTTGTTTCAGGGCGCTGGTCAAAAAATGAGGTCGTTAAATGCAAACTGCATATGATAAATACGCAGATCGATAGGCAGGTAGAACGTTAGCAGTCTTGTTGATTGCCATGACTACTGTAATGGAGCAAGACAGACGTGGGCTGTGAACAATAAAAGTGGAAACGGAATTTTAGAGCTCAACCGGGAGCTACTGACGAGCATAGGCTGGTCGATGCAGGTAGGAATGACACGAAAAACGAAGGAAGGATCGTGAGCAAATCACGTGATTAACTAGTCAAACGCATTAGCGACCCAGTCGCTTTGGTAGACCACTGTGATAACTGAAACATACGGCGATGGAGAAAATTTAAAGATGACATTTGGACGGTGAGCTATTAAGCGATGTGTGATCGAAAGAAAGAATGCTACTACAATTGAAAAGGAACAGTCAGGGAAATGAAGAGAAACATAAAACCCACCAGAATGCGCTTAATATAATAAAGATAAATGAAGCGTCGGTAACGGGGACAAATGCTTTCCTGTCACGCAACAATACAACTAAGATCAGATAGACCTACAAAAATGCAACAAAGAATAGTTTGCATCGTTTTTATTACGCCTTTAGAATGAGATAGTGGTTGGATGTGGTTGTCAGAGGGCAAAGAAACTCGAAACACCAAGATCGATGATAACAATTATCTCCAATCAAACGTGCTCACGGCTTTTCGCACATCAACCCAGGAGAAAGCAGGCAACAACAGCGAGAGCTTTCATTCTTCTCAACCGATTCATCATTCGACCATCCATTCTTCCCACTTCAAATCGGCAGCAAAGGCGACGCGCGTCGCGGAAGTCTGTCTGCGTAGTTGCAGGCGTAATACATGGTCCAGCCAAGGAAGCGCAGAGCGTGAAATAACGACGCTGAGCGGTTATCTGGCTATTCATGCACCATGCCCACTGCTCACATATTGTTCCCATCAGACTTGAACTAAACTGCGAGGACACCGGTGGTCAAACACATTTCACCTTTTTATGCCTGGTTCAGATTTAGCAAGCGAACAGCAGTTACCAGAATGACGACACCGCAGACCATGCACTTCAAGGCGAGCGTAATCCCTCACTGGCGCCTTATGTGGCGAAGATAAGCAAAAGCATCAGAAGCGTTTATGATACGGTCTGTGACCACAGCACCTATTTCACATGCGCCGATGTAGCTACGCAGGTAGTTGACTTTATGAACGATCTCTGACCGATCCCGAGGGTAAGCACACGGGATGGTCCCGCCAATTTTGCAGGAAAGCTTTGCAATGAATGGGTGCAAAACAGAGCCTGAAGCGATGATTATCAGTGTTAGTCAGTCCAGAGCTAAACGACAGGTTTATAAACTGTAACATATTATGGTAACATCGTCGGCGCACTTCAACCAGAGAAGTCGATCACTTGCAGGCAACTCTACATTTAATTAAAGTCTGATGAATATAGTTTCCGTGACTTCGTCAAATGTGAGGTTGAAACGGAAAAATTATAGCGAGCATCCATGACATGCGGAATCGGAGATATTTTGAAGTGGCGACAGATTACCATAAGCCCCATTTTGTCCAAACCGTTAGGAGGAGTACCTCCCAAAGAGCGTATCAATGAAGCACACACAGATCAAATTGCCACCGTAATCAGGAAACAAATAGAATAAAGGTACCGCCTTCAAATCAGCGCAGAAATTTCTTTTCAGTACTTCGCTTCAGGCAAATGCACGTATAAAAAGTAGTTAAAATTGTGACAGTCTAAGATAACTGGGTTAGAGTTGATTCAATCTAAACAGGCTGCTTTATCTGTTGATCAAATTCTCCAATCGATGCAGATAATTACGCACAAGCGGTCACCGCCTGAGATCGAATTAGGCGACGCTCACGGTGAGATCAGGGCTAGGGCAAATGTAGCGACTGTATTAGTGTCCTCTGTTTGCACAGTTCCAGTTGCATTAGCCAGATCGCAATGGCCTTTGCCGCCATAAGTAGGCGCTTTTTAAACCCCTTCCGGTAGCGTTTTGGTGCAGAGTAGACAACTTTAAAAGCTTCCGAGATAACAACTTGATGCCCGCTCTGGATTAGATGTTCCAATATAGAGTTATTGATATGTTCAACTGTTCGCTTCCATGATGCTACTGGGTAATGTTCTGCTATCCGTTTGGCCAAGCGTTTGGTCGTGAGTTCGCTGTATCTTACACCGCAGGTGCAAGTAAATGTACGTAGGATAAAAGATGCGGACATGATCGGAAGTCGATCCTTAAGATGTTGGGTAATAAACGGGGTACTTTCTGCGACAACACGTAGGTATGCAGCAGGAAAAGACTTGGCTATTGCATTTAGGAGTCTCATGTTCAATAATCCGAGGGTGGTATTTCTTTTAAAATGGACAGCAAGATAAGCATAATTTTTCGACACCATCACAGTTGTTTCTCGTTGTTCACGGATCACAGAATGCCTTGGAATGAAAGAGTCCGATAATAATTATCCTGTAGCATCCTAAAGATGAGATCGTTTTCGCTTTCCAAAGTTCTGGGACTACAAATTTTGTTAGCGCATCGAACTAACTTTCGATTGTATGTCAAGGGTACAAAGCGGCGAAAAGGTGTATACTGGCCAATCCAAGTAGACTTCCGGTAGATATTCCTACGTATATATATATATATATATATATATATATATATTTGCAAACGTCTAAGAATAGACATAAGGCCATAAGAAACCATGGGATTCAGACGAAGGAACAGAAATAGTAAAGGAAAACCCAACACAATAATGTCCATGGTTTCGTCAGAGGGCGAGATACTACCCGCTTGCCCAGGCCGAAGTAGGGTGTTGACTTAGGGGACACTACCCCGAGCCTTTGGCTGAATAGCCTGCCCGCAAGGCAGCGGAGCGAATTCAGGGAATCGCGCCCATTGGGAGCCGGTGACTGATTGCTCAATTCACAAGCCTTTCGTTTGTTCCTTTGTCAAACAGGGGCCCAATGCTCCCCAGAACTACAGCATAACGTTGTTGGAATACAATGCTTTGCCAGGATGAAGCAAGAGGCAGTGAGTTTATTTAGTGATGAGTCACGTCCATCACGTCACAGTGTTGTTAAACGGACATATGTGGCTTTTTATAGGGAGAACGCTTGCCAGGCGAAAACCCACCACGTCCTGGAACACTGCCGCCGAACCATTTGGTGGAACGGGAAAATCCAGAACCACCCAGCTGGCACCATGAGGAGGTTGTTCAGCAAGCCAGAGCCATCTTCACGTCTACTTAGCAGTATATCCATAAAGGCTAACTTGCCATCGCTGTCAATTTCGTATGTAAGTTTCAAAGACGGGTGCGTGCTATTGAATTGATTTGGCAGATGAGCTACGTCAGCATCTGAATCACAAATAATAAAGGTATCATTCATGTATCTCCAGTAGGAATCAAATGACGTAGTACTTTGTCGGAGAGGTCCAGATTCAAGTTTGGCAAGGAAAATATCGGCGAGCAATGGCTCTAGGGCCGATCCCGTCGCAACTCCATCTATCTGTCTATATTAGCATCCTTCAAAACATGAATTGTCTGTCAAAAGAACATCGTACGATGCAGATACGTCATGTAGCATGTCACCTCGCCTGACCGTCACTGCTGCTTTGATCCAGCGTGGATGACGTGCTCGATAATCGCGAGCGTAGACCGGGGTTCCAAGGACGAATTCTTTGTGCTTGGTGAAGTCACTAGAGTGACTAGGTAACTTATAAGTCGGAATGAGCGCTTCGTTGGCGGTGAGTAGCTTGCGGTCCATCAATGCTTCAGGCGGTGACTGGCATCATGACGTAGCTACATTCGGTGTGGACCAGTACGAGAGCAGGAAGGCTTGAAGGCACTCATTCACGGTCCCCTCCCCGCGAGATTTCAAGAGCGCCCCCTTGAAGGTGTCGACAAATCTCTCCGCTTGACCATTGAACTGGGGATGGCAAGACGGTGAGCGGAGGTGTTGGATGCAGTGTCGGCAACAAGTCTTCGAAGATGGAAGAGGTAAACTGGGAACCGGGAAGGCCATGTTGACTGAAGATGCGTTGTAGACAACCCAGAGTGGCGGATGCGGTTGGTGGGTTGACGGCGAGCGCTTCTGGCCATTTGGAATAGGCGTCGACCACGACCAGATAGGAAATACTATCGATGGGACCAGCGTGGTCAATGTGCACTCGGGAGCACAGTTTTGCTGGCGGATGCCAAGGAACCGGTGATAGGTGCGGTGGAATCTTTTAGGCTTATTGACATTTCGAGCAGCGGCGAGCCAAATCTTGAATGTCGTTGTCAATGCCAGGCCAGCAGACATAACTGCAGGCAACTGCCTTCATTCTGTTCATACAGGGGAGAGCAGAATGGAGCTGGCGGAGTACAGCTTGCCGGAGGCATGAAGGAACGACAACTCGATCGGCAGGTATCGATCACGGAAAAGAAGTCGCGGCGTTGAGGTAGCTGTTTAAGTTCACCAGACAAGTTAGTGTTTAGCCAGCACCTCTGAACGTAAGTGACGGCTTTCTGCAAGACAGGGTCTGGAGCAGTTACACGACGTGTCGGCGGCAGTAAGGGGGAGACTTCGGATAGCGTTCGAGAATTGATGAAGAACGTCGTCCTCGACGGTAACAGCGGCAATCACTGTGTC